TAGGGCACTCACTGTATTTATATACTTTTGGAGATATCCATATATATATATATATATATATATATATATATATATATATATATATATATAGGGAGGGTTGAGGTGTGTGCGTGTGAGCATGTGTGCGTGTGTGTGTGTGCGTCTTGTACAATAAAAAATGTTAAAAAATAAAATTTTCAAACACACTGGGTTTTATATTAATATTTTCGTTTTAATATTTAAATTAGTTAGTTTCAGTGAAAGAAAGAAAGAAAGAATGAAAGAAAGAGGGAAAATTAGGTTCCTCGACTAGTTTCGGTCAGCATGGCCATCATCAGGAGAAAATATTCCAGCTAGTTAGTAGCATTGAACTACAAAGGTGAATGACTGTCTCTAAAGAAAGTGAACTTTTCCTGTAGTTTTCATTTTTTATCGTTAATTTTTGGTCAGTCCTTGTCTTGATCAACAGGCTTTGTTCAAGTTCTTTTAAGGAGAGGCTGGGAGGTTCATGAGTATCAGATTTACCTCATTCTGTCAGTTTGGTTGCTGGGAAGGGGATGCGTGTGTTATGTTTATGTTAACTTTTATTTTTGTGGGGGTGGGGTGATGTGTGCCTGTGCATATATTTGTGTGATTAGGAGACTTCAGTACCTCTGTAATCATGTCTGTCTAATGTGGTTGAGAAATATAGGTAGGGGGTTATCTATGGAATTATTTATGTCCGTGCTGTTTAGTCTGTTGTTAAGTCCATCCGTCCAAAGTGTTTAGAGGCGCAAAATCCATTTGTCTTCATGTTCCTCTACTATTTTCCTCAGTTTATCTTTTATGTCTATTTCTATTCTTTCAATAATAGTGTATCTTGCATGACTATTAAAATCATGTTTTCCCAGGCAGAAATGTTGTTCTATAGCCAATAATATTTCAATAAATTATTTATCCGAATCCAATAACTATTGATTCTGTATTAAAAGTGCCATTCAGATTTTCCCACATATTGTTTCTGGCGTAGTATACATTCTAATAAGTAAATTATGTTATGATTTCTACAGTTAGAGCTGTGGTAAATTTTGAAAGTAGTGTTATATATATATATATATATATATATATATATATATATATATATATATATAGAGAGAGAGAGAGAGAGAGATAGATAGATTCTTGACATAATTCTAAGAAGAATATGCAAAGTTATCGGTGCTCACCTTGTCTTCAGTCATTTTCTCCCTGTTGTAACCTAGTTTCTTTGCTCCTTTTCCGTAAACATTTTCATGGACAGCGTTCTCATGACGTTTCTTTCGTACCACAAGTTCACAAATTTAAGCGTAGAGACGATCCTTAGAGAATTAAATGCCTTAAAAGGATTCGTTATTGGCAGTCCCAATGTCAACCACATAAGATATGCGGATGGCACAGTGTTAATAGTAGACACAGAAATGAAATTTTAGGAAGTCCTGTAGACGGCATTAAAAGAAAATGAGAAGATATTTTCATGGTAATTTGTTTTGATGAGCTTTTCTACGTGGAGTGTGAAAAGATGTCACACATAAATTATTACTAATTCTCTTTCTTTCTTTCTTTCTTTTTTGCTCACGTAGCGTCTCTGATATCTCCTTTCAATCTTTCCACGCTTCAAAAGGAAATAGTTTATTATTTATGAGGTATTGTCAGATGTTAAAAACTTTCATTTTTCCCTCTTTTTTTTTTTTCTTTCTTTCTTTTTCTCACTGAAACTAAGTAGCGTCTCTGAAATGGTATTGTCAGGGCGTAACTGTCGTTCTAACCAAGGGAGAGACAAGCAAAATTATGACGTGAATAGATTGCTAATGATTTTACTATAGAATTACATTAAAAATCATGAAAACTATTTTGATCAAGAATTAAAAGGAAAGTTTTTGACAAAATAAAGATATATATATATATATATATGTGTGTGTGTGTGTGTGTGTGTGTTATGTATATATATATATTATATATATGTCTAATATATATATATATATATATATATATTATATGTCTAATATAAATATATTGTTAATACACTGGAAATCAGGAAGAGATCGATTGTCGACAATCAGTAATTAAGTCCATTCTTACAGGCAGGATACGTATATTATATATATGATAATTAATGTTTGTCGATTGGTTTATAGCATTTTCATGTTATAGAAAAGTTAAACCTGATCGTACATATAATTGCACTCCTTATAAGTCTATGCAGTTCCTAACATTGCAGAGTAATCGTAAAGAATATTGCCTTTGGGTCTACCTACTATTGTTAAAGTTTTCAATTAAAAACAGCGGGATCAGTTATGAAGAAAGATAATGCGAACGTATTTTCAGTTCGAGAATACATTATGTTCAACGGCAGCTGTCCTCTGAGAATCGACCCGACAGGCCGGGGGATCAGTACTGAAGTCAAAAAGCTTTTAACATTTTCTTTCCATAGAAACTATCGGCTGTTACGCGACTTCTAAAGAACAGGTAATCAATGTGAAGTCGTTACGCGTTAATCATTCCGTTTTCATTACATTGAGACCAGGGACAAAGAACTAATGGCCCAAATCGAAAGGCTGTTCTAGGTAAGGTTGAAGAAAAGCAATTTTCCCTGTGCGATTCGGGGTTGACTATTAGTTTATTAAGGTGAAAGAGGCCTGTTTTGAAAATATCCTGTACTTTCTTCAGGGCTGCGGTGTGAGAATTTCTTCTCACACAGTTTAACCCTTGGCAGAGACAAGAAAAGACATACAATTTACAAAGCCTACCTTAAAATTCAATACAAATTTTATTGCGTCTTTGCAAAAAAAAATTATGCCCTTTTTGCCCCTGTGAATAGGGTGGGGTAGTTACTTCAAAGAAGTGGTAGTAATTTTTCTTCTCTGTAGGACTCAACCGGTCTCTATGCAGATTCGAAGAAGCAGGAACTTGACGGTCGTCGCAGGAGCATTACCAATTTGGTGGCTGAAATAAAAACTCGGCTATTTGTCGAGAGCATGCAGAAAAGTTCTTCATGTAAAAAGTTCAAATTAGACGACAGTCAATAAACCGACTGAATTATTCAGCCTTGAAAAGTCTCTAGAATATGAGACAAGAAGAATAATTGCCTAGTCATTTAGGCTTAAATTTGGGCGCTAAAGGCCCTGCAAAGTGATTGAAATATGAGTCCTGAAAAAAAGGCACGGGCCGTTGAAAAAGCCCGCGAAAAGCCAAGTCAAATTCAACCAATGAGATTGGTCGGTACAAAATACGGTGTGGCATAAATTAGCCAATAGGAGCTTAATTGCAGAATTTCTCACACGGAGTTGGAACACAAAATCTCCGATCCCAACTCCTCTATTTTTTGCACCTCCGACTCCTACATTTGTAATTAAGTAATTATGGCTTGCATATCTCATAAAGCCTATGCATGCACTCCTAACTTGAGAAACCTATATTATTAGCATAATCTATGCTATAATAAACAAAGAAAAAGAAGGAAAAAAACAGTTAACAAGAAATAAAAAAAAGACATCGCAGCGAGAACAAGATATAAAAATAAAGAAACGGTGTTATATGAATTTGTCCCTGATAAAGAAAAGTCTACGTTACCGTGATAAATGGATTCCGTAAATGTGTTAAATAAGCGGGACTTTATACATTTATCGAATCCTTCGGAGTCGGAGTCGCTATAGTTTTACCGACACCGACCCCACAGCCCTGCTTTCTATGTGAAGAATATCGGTAGCAAGTGCATCGAAAGAAAAACAGTAGTATTTTATAACTTTATATATTTACATTTTTCGGACTGTTATCCTCATCTTTATTGCCATATTCACAGTTTGGGTGATTGGTATTTCGAACTGAACCTTCGTTTCGTCCACTGGGTTAAGATTGTTCTGATTTCACGTGCCATGCATCTTCTGAATGCCTCAGTTATCTCCCTTTAACTCAACTCTCCATGTTTTTGTTCATCACTCAGTATTGAACTGGCAATTCTTTGGGTCAAGTCACTGGATCCAACCAACGTTTTTTCACTCACTCGGCCATGTGTCATTTGTGAACACCAATGTAAGAATTTTTTTTTTTTAACTTAATGTCTCAGTAACATTTTTTTTACCAGAACTCATATCGCAATATTGTTGTTATTATTGCTTTTTTTCTAGCACTTCGTATTACTAGTTCCCATATTGTATTCACTTCTATACTTTGCCGGCTTAGTTAAAGGGAGATAACCGAGACGTCCGGAAGAGGCGTGGCTCGTGGAAGTATAGCAACTACCCCGGTCGACGAAATAAAGTATTCAGTTCGAAGTTTCAACCACCTGCTGAAGGCTGTCGTGAAAGATGAGGACAACAGTCCGAATAATGTAAAAAATGTAAATAATTGCATTACCTCATCTCAGAAATATAGACAGTTACTGAAGAAGGCCGGAGCGTACAACGGCCGAAACGTCGTGAATATGAAAATAAAGATGAGGACAACAGTCCGAACAATGTACATAATTACAATCCCTCGTCTCGGAAATATAGACAGTTACTGAAGAAGGCCGGAGCGTACAACGGCCGAAACGTCGTGAATATGAAAATAAAGATGAGGCAACAGTCCGAACAATGTAAATAATGTAAACAATTGCAATAGACAAATTTTATATATGTTAACCCTGTAAATTCTGTTGCCGAGCATAGAGTCGCAACCTCATCACACTAAGGCCAAAGCCTCATCACCCTGGATGTGGCTATTGTGTTATTCGCACTAAGTAAATATATCTCCTATACTAAATTTGATATAACTAATCTAGACACCGGTGTATTTGAAGTTTTTACTATTTACTAATTGCACGTCCTGAATTTTTATGATTAAGGGTAGGTGCCCTCACGGCTCTACTTCCAGTTCTCAGGCATAGTTCCATTTTGAAAAGGTGTATCTTGGGTCGTCTTTCTTGAAAGACTTGTTCGATTAAGCCATTCTTATCTCTAATATGAATAGCTATCTTATCTTTTATGAATCTGTATTATACTCAAATAACCATGTGTATATACTTAATGGGCGTGCAAATATTATTCAGAGTCGGTCTTCATCCATCACGATCGAATCGAGGCTTCTCTCTTGTAGATTTTTATATATCACTCACTCACACGATGTTTCCTACCCTTGCAAATGACAGACAAAGCTGGGCCGATCACCTGTTTATATGTCTAGGCCAACCCACTGAAATCGGGTTAAGCGAGTAGGTCCAATCCCATGGTCTTACGACCGCACCCACTTGAAACACCGATTCCGTACGATCACCGAAATTAAGCAACGTCGAGCCTGGTCAGTACCTAGATGGGTGACCGCTTGCCAATGCCAAGTGTTGTAAACTTGGATGTATGGGAGGTGTGATAAATGATGGCAAGGTAATTTTAATCGGACATCCGAGTTTAAATCCGAGTTGGATTCGTCATATTCACTTACGCGTAAATACTCTTTGGCAAAGGTAAGTATCCAAGTCTTCGCCGCAAACTCGTACCACTATATTATTATTACTGATTTTTAATTCTTACAATCTAAAAAATATTTTCTGGCTTTAAATAAACTGAAATGGGTTGATAAGCCGTAAAAACGATTAATCAGTCAATCCACTCCGCCAAGGATGTGATCTCCCAGGTCGACCCACTATCTATCTATCTATCTATCTATCTATCTATCTATCTATCTATCTATCTATCTATCTATGTTAGAATTTTACAATCTATCTATCTATCTATCTATCTATCTATCTATCTATCTCTTACAATCTATCTATCTATCTATGTATCTATCTATCTATGTTAGAATTTTACAATCTATCTATCTATCTATCTATGCCAGAATTTTACAATCTATCTATCTATCTATCTATCTATCTATCTATCTATCTATCTATGTTATCTATCTATTCTTATCTATGCCATCTTATCTATCTATCTATCTGTGCAGAATTTTACAATCTATCTATCTATCTATCTATCTATCTATCTATCTATCTATGTTAGAATTTTATCATCTATCTATCTATCTATCTATCTATCTATCTATCTATCTATCTATCTATCTATCTATCTATCTATCTATCTATCTCTGTAAGCTCGTGAATATCCCAGTTTCTGTATAAATATCTACCGTGTCAGTGAAAGTGTGCGAAGATGAGTAGCTGTCTTCCTAAAGGGAAAAGTCGAATTGGTGAGGAAAGTTCAAATGTCGGCTGCGACTCTTGGTATCTGAGAAATATATTGTCTTGATATCATGAGCAAATTTTCAACTCGTTGATATTCCACGATGTTTAACGAAGAAAAAAAACGGAGTGGGTGAGCCCAAGCAAAAGTAAAAAATCTACTGCTACCATTTTCAGCTACAACAGAGACAAGTCACGTGTTATTTTGTTCTTTTCTACACATCTCTCACTTTCACACAAGAACACACATACACAAAAATACTCATTAACTTAGTCACTCCGTCATTCACAATCTATCTATCTATTTTAATGTCTTGATATCCCTCATCACACTCCGTTCCTTCCTATCTATCTATCTATCTATCTATCTCAATATGTATGTATCTATCTCAGTACGTTCCAATCTTTCTATCTATCTATCTATCTCTGTATGTTCCACTTATCTATCTATCTATCTATCTATCTATCTATCTTTATCTATCTATCTATCTCAGTATGTATGTATGTATGTATGTATATATGTACCTCAGTACGTTCCAATCTATCTATCTATCTATCTATCTATCTATCTATCTATCTATCTCTGTATGTTCCACCTATCTATCTATCTATCTATCTATCTATCTATCTATCTATCTATCTATCTATCTATCTATCTTTGTATGTATGTATGTATGTATGTATCTATCTATATCATTATGTTCCAATCTATCTATCTATCTATCGTACACTTTAGAAAATGTCCATGTCCATCGAGACTACCATTAACAAAGAAATGTACAGAAAAAACGACTTCATGTTGCAACCTTTCGTGTAATATCCTGTCTTTTATGCTTCTTATCGTTTTCAGCTCTCCCCAAACAATTGACAAATGGACGTCACTCCATTTTTTCTTTCCTTTTTTTTTCTTTCTTTTTGCCCTCTGCATTCGATCTGAAAATAACTAACGCCGCTCTCTTCACAATACATGTAAATCCTATGAGATCGCAATCAACTGAGTAACCCTGAGAATTTTTCAAGGCGTGGTTTTAACAGAGTAAAGCGTCGGGGGAATAATAGATTCCTTTCATTAGATAAGGGAATTTCATCGCATGAGGCCTCGTTTATGATCTTATTAAAGACTTTTTTTTTACCCCAGAAGGCGGCATGTGCATGTTCATCCGAACGAATGTGTCTTCTGTGCGCGCAACCAAATGGATAATTGAATTTATTGAGTACATGTCGGTAGCTATGTAAATTTGTAAACGCTGCCGACCCACAATCATCTTCTATAATGGCTGAAGGTAACTCCAAAGACCTTCTTTACTATCTGATTAATAATTAAATGCTGCCTTTGAGCGTGCATTTTAATATCTCTATATAATATTAAATAATATAATCTTTGTCGAATATACCGGCGCTGACAATAAACATCTAAATATAACAAGAAATCAATCATAACATTTAGAAATTAATTTTAAATAACATACCACCTTAGAGTGTATAAAGATTATGGCTCTCCACTGTTTCCCTTTTTCTTATTATCAGTGAATATGCGTAACGTCATGGAAAACTATTAAGTTTCCCTCTCCAGGCTTTTTTTAAATTCAAAATAGTCCTAAAGTAGACTGGTTGCCACTCAAGTCTAGAAATCCAAGTCTACCCTATTATTTAATCGACAGCTGAAGGGGATGTAGAAGAAATGACTTAATCCGAAACTAAACGGAGTAGGACGAGCTGGAATTTGAACTCGGATCGCTGTTTCTACTGTCTGCGCCGGTAATAGTCAATCCTAATTTCTAATATATGCAAGCGTATGTAGGTGTATGTGCTTGTTGTTGTTGTTGGTGGTGTGTGTGTGTGTGTGTGTGTCTGTACCTAAATGTGTTTTCATATATGTAACTGATCATTAGATGTCCGTAATGACTGACCATCACACACACACACACACAAAACACACAAACATCTGAACACGCACGCGCTCCACACAGACACAAACATCCCCCAGACACGCACACACACACACACACATATATATATATATATATATATATATATATATATATATATATATGTGTGTGTGTGTGTGTGTGTGTGTGTGTGTGTGTGTGTGTGTGTGTGTGTGTGTGTCAGGAAAAAGCAAAATTGTCCAGATCGTGTATCCATTTGTTAGATTAAGGTTGGAGAACGTTGTGTCTTAGAAATGATTAAAAAATATCTAATGGAATTCTCAAAGATTTTTATAACACTATTGGACTCTACCTTCAGCAATAATAATGTATAATTACTTTCCAAACTTAGAAAAATCATAATGAAATCGATCATAAACGAAAATGACATGTTCATTATTAATTAATCAAAGCATACGGTCAGAAGCTCATGAAAGTATTGAAGTTCAAATATATATATATATATATATATATATATATATATATATATATATATAAATTACAGGATCATTTTCCACTTTATTCAAAGTGATTTTCTCCCTCTCTAGTCTTCTAACTTTCTTAGAGCAACAATGTGCCTCGCGTACGATCTTGTTTTTAAGTATTTTTTCTTTACTCTTTGGGCTGTCATAGTTGAAACTCCTCTCTCATCTGGTATCATTACTGAAGCCCTGAATAAACTTCTTCCTCTCATCATTGCTGATTTGTGAAGACAGCAAATTTTAACTTATTCTATTTCTAGCTGAATAACTCAAAGTATTTTCCAGTTATTCTTACGGCAAATGGTGTCAAGATGGTTAAGCGTTTTATCTGAAAACCTGGAAAAAGAAACTCTGTATATATATATATATATATATATATATATATATAATATATATATATATATACAGAGTTTCATATCATATCGGGATAATTCGATTTCGCTTCGTCACACCTGGCAGTTTCAAAACAAAGATTAATTTGTTTTGAAACAAATTAATCTTTGTTTTGAAACCGCCAGGAACCTGACAAAGCGAAATCGAACTATTGATTTTGCGAAATAAAATATTACCATGGCTTTCTGAAGTCTCGGATTTGCTAATTAATTATCACTTGATCTGTTTACTACATTGACCTCTCGGGATTTATATCCTCCCTGGAATTATCGATACAGATTATCAATTAAATATATATATATATATATATATATTGTCATCTACAGACAGACTGTTTCGCAGCTCATCAATGTGGCTAGACGGCCGGTTGCTAGGCTTGAAACCCGACTGAATCGGCGTCAGACGGGGGATTCTACCACTAAGCCATTAGCGCACACCAGAGATGAAGGTGAATTTAAGCACATTTATTTTTAGATAAACACACAGTGACTGAGAGAACTTTATTCGCTTTACCGAAGAGTCTTGCATTATTAGCCGTAATAGTCACTGTTTACAAACTTACATTCCCTCCCCAGACAGCTCAACCAAAATAAATTTTTCAGGAGCATATACATTGTCACAGACTGTTTCGCTGTATCACAGCTCATCAGTGTGGCTAGATATCTGGCTGCCTCTAGCTAGGATCGAAGCCAATAAAATAAAAATAGCTATCAAATTTCGCTACCCTCTCCTTCCCGTGAGCTGCTGTAAGGTGGACCAAATATGAAAACATTTGTCGCTTTAATCCAAAAGTGGGAGGTATTACCACTAATGTATGTTTTTTTTTTGTCTTTTTGGGATTGAATCAACCAACTCTTTTATCCACTTGACAGTCAATAAAAGCATTGGTTGAAGTAATCCAAATGGTGACTTTTCGCAAAGAGTGGCGATTTAAATACCCGGCCACAGAGGGAAGAAAAACTTGGAGATTCGATTTAGTAAAGGGCATTAAATGAAATTCAGATATCCAGAAAAGGCAAATGAATGACAAACGCAGAAATGAAAGATAGCAAATAAATGTATTGACGTAATAATACAATTGGTAATACTGTTAGTAGATCCAGAAATGCGGTTAGTAGCAATAATAATATATATACAATCTGGGAAATTCAGTATCGAAGTAGGACTTGCTTCTGAGTCTACGTGCTCGCAACTGTGACTCCTACAAAACGGTTACCTCACACTCTCACTGTATCAGTGTATCTCTCTATCAGTGTATCTCCTCCGGGTATTCACCGGCAGCAGTACAAGTACAAACTGGTAGAGTTCACTTGTATGAAAAAGGGGTGGACCCCATAAAATAAAGGGTTCGAATCGAAATTCCAGCGTATATCACCTGAAGAAGGTCGGAGCGTACAACGTCCGAAATATTGTGAATATGGTCAACAGAGACGAGGATCACATTCCGAACGATGTCAATAGAGTGAATAAATACTAGAATAAAAATATCATGGAAAATAAAAAAAAAACAGCACTAGCATACAAGAATAATTCTAAAATCTATAAACTTTGTTGGAAAAAATAGCTATAATCAACATGAGAGACCACCACAAATATATGCACTATATATGCACTATTTAGAAAGCTTCTCTTTGCGACTGCTCGGTCTCACATTGACTGCTGACCTGAGATGGAACAAATACATTGAGTCAATAGCTTCATCCACCGCAAGGAAAGTTGGCTCCTTTTGCCGCGCCAGGAAATTTTTCTCGCCGGAATCGATCCTTCAAATCTACAAATCAACCATTCGCCCTTACATGGAGTATTGCTGCCATATATGGTCTGGAGCCCCTTCTCTTTGTCTCAAGGTTCTTGATAAGATCCAGAGACGGATATGCAACGTAACTGTCCCTGATCTAGAATCTCGTTTGCAGTCGCTCTCTCACAGACATGCCATCGCCTCCCTCTGTCTTTTCTTTTACAAATACTTTCATGTTAACTGCTCCGATGAGCTGCTTTCGCTGGTTCCCAGACTTCATGGATTTAAGCGTTCTACTAGGCTGGCATTTCGCTTACACCCTTTCACTGTCGAAACTGTTAAATGTAACCGCCTCTTCTACTCCAATAGCTTTATATCTCGCACCTCTCGCCTGTGGAAATCCCTTCCCTTTTCTTGTTTCCCTGATAGCTATAGTCTCCAACTATTCAAATGTAATGTCAATCGACATCTCCAGATGCCCTGATCTATCCCCTGTCTATCTGTTCATCCTTTCCTCTATTATTCCTATTTGCTCTCACTCCAACTCTCTTTAACCCATTGCGTGCTCGTGGCTTCCCGCCTTGCTTGGGGTGAAACGCTTAAAAAACATATACAAAGCAAATAATGTAATATACTTTAACCAAAACCAATATATTAAACTAAAATAACAAATAAAATACTCCATTGCCACTAAAATTAAAAACGTATAAATTAATTAGAAAAAATAATAGAAATAAGTAAATAAATAAAATAATGAATAAATATTTAATTAATTAAAGGAAATAAATAAAAAACACATTAACAAGCCGTATAAATGCTCATATAACCACAATAAGTAATTTAATAATAATAATAATAAAATTAATTAGTGAATAATTAATGATTAAATACCAAATTCACTAAAGTAATTAACAATAATTAAATAATGAATAATTGGCCCAGTGGATAAAGATGTTGATTCGATCCAGGGACTAGACCCAACGAGTCGTGAGTTCAATACCAAGCTACAGCAGTGGTGAAGCAAAATTTAGAGTTGAGTTAAAAGGGAAATAACTGTGACCTCCAGAAAATGCATGGCACGGGGAACTATCTACCTTAAAGGTTTCGGTTCGAAATTCCAATCACCTGAAGAAGATCGGGCCGTACAACTCCCGAAACGTTGTGAATATGACAATGAAGATGAGGATAGCAATCCAAATAATGTAAATAATACAAGTAATCATAATACCTCTTCTCAGACATATAGACAAATAAACAAGGATTTAAAAGTTAAAAAACAAAAATAATGACCCCCACCCCGGCCCAGAATTATTACTTTTCGATAGCGCCATGAATAATTTAGAATATGTTTCCAGCCTATCCGAAAACCGTTAGGATAACAAAATAATCTGGTAATAACTGAACTT